CGGGTGGGTAGGGGAGCGGGAACAAGTCGGAGGGAGGGGAGAAGCTGCTGCATGCGGAAGGGGTTCCTGTGCGATTTTACGTGTTAGCAGCGAATTCGCGAAACGCGGATCCGCAGCGATCTGTCGACGTTTTTCCTGCCGTTTAGGGCAGGCGGCGGAGTTCGCTGCATGACAACCTTGACATTTTCTGCACCTTGGCGGCAGCCCGTTCGTCTTTGCCTGGCAGTCACGTTGTGTATGCCCTTTGCTTCCGCAGTACGAGCAGGTGTCTGTACCTGCTTTACATTCACCTATTCGGTGTCCGTACTGGAGCATTTGAAGCATTGAATGATGCGTGGTTGGAGGACAAACTCTTCAACCCGTAGTCGCAGACAGCCGATTTCCATGGCGCCTTCCTTTATAAGATTCCGCGCGTTGGGGGAACTATTGCCTTGATCAGGAAAAGCGGGAGAAGCGCGCCTGCTTTGGTTTTACGCATTCTGGTGATTCCGTTCTCTATGAACGAAATGCCATATTCAAGGGCGAGAACGTCTCTAATGACGCTCGTGTCTTCTTGGAGGTCCACGCCTCTAATGACGAATTTGCAAAGCGGGGTTCCAGCTCGCTCAGGGAAGGCTTCTCCGCCGATCCCTGATTCGGGCCATTTGCTGGCGACGCAAGCAATGTCCGAAGGTTTCGCAAGGCTAAGGACAAAGCCTGCGGAGCGAGTTTGCATGATGTCGAGCAACTGGACCTTAGGGAAGGCGCTCATAAAGGCGCGAACGAATGCTATCCTCTGTTGGTGTTTCGGGGGAGAGAATTCACATAAACGGGGTTTTGAAAAAGAGAGCTGCTAGTGGCTGTCTGAGGTTGAATTGACTGGTGAATTGCTACTGTGCAGACTGGTGAATTGCTACTGTGCAGAGAAGAATTTGCAGGCGTGGACGGTTGAGTGTGCGAGTGGGAAGGGGAGAGACGGAGAACTGCGTTCCGATTAGGACCACTTTTGAGGGAGTGGATGGATTCGGAGGCTAAGGATGCAGGTTTGGAGTTGGCATGGGAATTTGGAGAGGATTGACGTTTCGGTCGAGGGGGTGTAGGCACAAGGGGTTGTGAAGAAGGGGAGGAGGGCGGGGACCGATTCTTAGGAGACTTCCTCTTACCAGGCATTCTGTGCCTGGTGAGAGGGGGGGAAGATTTAGGGAGAGTCTGAATAAATTAAACGCGATTGCAGTCCCAAATCAGAAATATTTGGAATTAAAATACGCTTCCCATCTGCCTCTTTAACCATATTTCATGCCTACCTCCCTCCTGCCTCTCCTCCTAGTTCTGCTGACCTGGGGCCATATTCTATTACGTTCTTAAGTGCGATTTTCCTCTTAGCAAGGTGCTTAGCTGGTATTTGCCCCATTCAAATACATTGCCGAAGTTGAGCAATTTGCTTAAACTAAGTTTAAGATTGTAATAGAATACGGCCCCTGGACTTTATTAACGAATACAGGGGCCCCTCGCTTTTCATAGGAGATTTTAATGCACACCCCCCCCGTGCTTTCGTTTTGTAACAACGTCAATGAAACAGGTCGCATCCTATGCGACTTCGTAGCTTCCAGCTGCTTTAGCATTCTGAATGACGACTCCCCCACCCATTCTTGCTTTGCTCACGGTACCCCATACAGGATTGACCTCGCACTCGGCAATGCACGGTTCCTCCCTTATTTTCAAGACTTCTCCATAGGAGAGGACATAGGGAGTGATCACGTGCCTATAATAGTAAAGTGCAACTTCTCTCACCTCCTTCCATCTGTCCCAAGTAACCCCCGCTTTGACTTTCGTAATGCCGACTGGTGCGCTTTTCAGGACATATTAGAAACCCTCCTCCCAGACTCCTTCCCTATGGATGCCATTCCCCAGCTTAACGAGGCGGTCACTATCGTCACTGAGTCCATCTATATCGCGCAAGAAGTAACAATATCCAAAATTTATATTTCCCATGAACCTTACTCTCTCTCTGAAGAAGTCATGTATACAATTAAGAAACGTAGAAAACTAAGACGCGCTAACTTTCGCTCTAAAGACCCCGCACTAAAACCTTTCATTAACAGGCTTAACCACGAAATTAAAACTCTCCTTAAAAACGAAAACGAGGCATATTGGCGTAAATTTTGTGAACAGATTAACACCGAAAAGGATCCAGTTAACTTTTGGAAGCTCTTTAAAAGAATCGGGAACCCTCGAAACAATCAAAGTAAACGCATTAAATATGAAGGTAAGACCCACTGCAGTGACGACAGCAAAGCCTCAGTCCTTGCCGCCATCCTGCTGGAAGCTATGACCGAGCCGCCAAGCTCCCTGGGGCCGATTCCCCCCAAAGAAAGCCTCGATCTCCAAAATAAAATAACTAACTTCTCCCTGTCCAAACCCTCTCTTCTTCCTGAAAGTCTCTCTTCCGATCAGGAAGCACTACTTAACGAAATCACCATGGAAGATCGAGGCCGCGATTAAAATATCTCCTAATAAAGCCCCTGGCCCAGACAACATGTTCGTAGCTTCTCTCAAACATATTCCAGAAAAAGCCCTCCAGCTCCTTCATCTAACATTTAACGCCTATCTTAATCACGGGCATGTCCACCCCGCATGGAAATCCGCTAACGTAGCTATGATACCCAAACCCGATTTTTAAAAATCCCTCAGATCCCTCTTCCTACCGCCCCATCAGTCTTCTCAACTCTCTTCAAAAACTCCTTGAAATAATTCTAACCGCTCGACTATCTAACTCTCTGGAGTCTCTAAACCTTCTCACACCTTGTCAATCAGGCTTTCGACCTAATTTAAGTGCCACCGATCAGCTTGTTCGGCTCCACCACGACGAGCTCGAGGCTGTCAACAGTAAAAAAACATCTCTTAGCTCTCTTCTTTGACGTTACCAAAGCATTTGATAAGGTATGGCACGCAGGGCTAATCTACAAATTTCACTTTCTTTTTAAAATCGCCCTGCGATTCTGGCGCTGGATAGCCTCATATCTGTCCGAGAGGACCTTTAGGGTCAGGGTCGGCAACTCCTTTTCCGAATCCTTTTCCCCAACAGCGGGAGTTCCTCAGGGATCTGTGATCCCTCTGCTTCTCTTTATCCTTTACTCTGATGATAATTTTTGATTCCTCCGCTATTCGAGTTGAATTCCCACGTTCTAGTGCCTTTTCATTATTGGGGCTCAGGAAATCCTTGTTTTGTATTGAATCAAGGTTCTCAGGAACTATGTTTTAGCAATAAGCATTGTCTATGATATTAAGTATGCATTGCTGAAGTAGCACAAAAGCGCAAATTGAGATCTAATTCAAAATCAGGAGGCTGCCTTCTCCGAGAGACAAGTCATTCTAAAACTTATTCCTGCTCCCGTTCCGTTATCATGTTCATCCGTTCATAGTTTCTAGTTCATCTATAGTTTCTTGAATAGTGGTCAAAGCGAGCTACATTTCAGGCAGGCAGCGAAGATGGTGCACTCATTGCCGAGGCAAACGACAAGAAGAACTTGTTCGAAGTGCCCGCCAAGAAGCTGGAGCTTGTTGGCTTAGGGCACTTTGCTATTCATAAAGCAGTTAGGCATTCTGTCGAGGGCGTCGATGGCGTAGCAAGGAACCATGGAAACTTCATCCCATATCCTGGAAGACCTGCAGTAATTTGCTTTCTGGCCTTGGGGTTACAAGTTTCAACTGTAAGTTGCATATCGCAATTTGAGATTCCAAGAATTGGCACTGGAATTTTTAAACTGGAATGGGTAGTTTTCCCCCTCCAGCGAAATTGCCGTTATTCCAGGTCATGCAAAAGGCAATGCGATTTCTCCTTTTCCCCTCCCAATGTGGATTAGCTCATTGTGTAGTCTTTCTTGTTCCACAAGGTCCATCAATGTGTGAGGAATCACCTTGAGGAATCACCGGGGTTATTTTGCCACATGCTCTCAAGGATAACGTCGACCGTCACACGTTGCTCTTGATGGAGTTTGGCATACATTTTTTTTCCCATTTCTGTTTCTGCAGCAACGTTGCAAGCTAATGTTTCACATGCAAAGCCATTGTTTTGCTGAGGAAATTGGAAAGTTGAACACTGAAAGCTGTGAATTTGCAAGGCGTTGCACATTTCGAGGAGAGCCAAGTTCATTGCAACACCAGGACTCCTGCTTTTAGCAGTCTTCTGTCATGCTGCTCTTGTGGGTTTCCCAAAGAGTAGGCGCAACAATTAGTTGGCAGAGGATACATATTGTCGCAAAAAATTGTGTCTGTCACTTACGCATATGGAAGGTGTATCCCTCCGAGCGATATCGATCCCATTTGGTGCCGTGGGCCAAAATATGGAGGCGCCACCCAATATTGCACGTGGACTTGAAAATTGCTTCAGATTTAAGTTGAGAGAGATTGATAGATAGAGGGGGAGAGAGAAAAGAGAATTCTGGGCAAGCAGGCATGCAAGTTTCGAAATTTACCGTTTGATTCACGTGCCACTCAGCTCCTATAGGATGCATTATCATTCCTCAACGACCGCACTCCCTGGCGACATCTGCTTCTCTCTCGCAGGCCTCACGCAAGTCACGCGCAAATGTAAGCCCCGCTCCCCATACTACCTCGTGGTGATTATTGGGGAAACAAAACCTAGGTTCGGCTTTCACCGCTGGGATTACATAAAGTTTCGTGCTCAGGGGGCAACTGCCCAAGAACACAGATAAATCGGAGTCTGAAGCGCAACCACCACTTGAGCTGGAATGCCTCAGATACTTACGCCATAGAAGATGGACCCTTGTTAGATATTATTTACGGAGATAGTGAATGGGCAGCCAATACGTATTCACTGAATATTTTCCGCGAATTATTTGCAGGTGGAAGCAAAGAAGTCAGCCTACAACCTGGATCTCCGTTGAGGCTTACATATCTCTCACCCTGTTCTCATGCGTCTGTTGCTCCTCAGTGCACATTGCGTGCAATAGAATGTTAAATACAGGATATGGCAAAATAGAAGACTAACGACTTTCAACCTAAGTAGCGCCGACCCTCCTCCTTTGACGCATCCTAGGGACGAGGCTCGAGTGTGTCCACTCCACTGCCAGAAGGACCTCTTGTCCATTCCCAATGTCTATCTTCTTCTCAATAAATGCTGATCGACTTGCTTTGGCACTACAAATTTAGGTGAACTTTGAGGTATCAGTTGGAAACATATTCATATATGCAATGTAAACGTTTCGTGAAAATAACTCTTTTGGAAAGGAATATACGTATTTAGGTTGAAAGTCGTTGATCTTTTTTGCCATACGCTGTGCATTCCCGTCATTTTCTAGCGAATTTTGAGACGTTTACCGGTAAAATGCAAACGTACATAGATGAAATGCAAACGCATACCTGGCCAGTACGGGTGCTTGAAATCATGGAACGTTCATCACGGGTTACTCCTTCTTCTGGACTCTCCTTGATACTGTAAGGAAGACACACCCTGGTTTCAATTAGTGCAAATCAAGGTATCAAGGTTTAATATTTTTTCAGGAGGAGATAACGCCCATTTGAATATCACATGTCGAGGACGAGAGTTCGTTGATTTTAGGATAGGTCCACTTATTTTAAAGCAAAGTATGTTTGTAATAAAATTTTAAAAAATATCTTAGTCGCTCATGACCTAGTCATTTTCTTCTACATTGCCTCCTTGTTTACTTTGTCCACGTAAGCATCTCGTCTTCTCTTGAAAATAGTTACTGAAGCGGCAGCGATATGAATGCAAAACATGGACAGTGCACTCTCTAAAGAAATCACTCATCTGTTCATAAGCAGGCAAAAAAATGGTCTTATTTAATTTCTCAGAAGCAGATTGGCCCTGGGACGGAGCTAGACGCACGTATGGTCACGCCTTCGTATGGTACGCACGTATTGGTCACACGTGTAAGTGACATGATATTATTGAGTTGAGGGAGTATTCAGCTTTCATGGTGAATCCCCTCCGGGAATAACTTTTGGGTGGGTTGGCTATTCCAAACATATTTTAACATCCCACAGAAGTGCCTGTATGATGGGTAAGTACAAGAAAAATCCTACTTTTGAAATCTGTCTCCTTCGCGTACATTATTAGAGGGAAGTATTTCAAAATGTATTTTCCACCCTTACAAAATGGGACAAAATAAAACATTTTAAGCTAGGCACACTAGACATCATACAGGGTAGAAGTAATGCTTTTGATAAAAATCATGGCTTTCGTCCCCATAAGTCGCGTATTTTAATGGGGACGTACTTTAAGTACATGACATGTTTGCCATTTCGCAAAGAATTGATTAATTAAACACTATCCAAGGTATTGGAGCGCCGAAGGCGCCACAATAGCGAGTTGGTTTGCCCGAAGTGCAAACAAACTAGCTAGTATATATATAGACATAGACGATCTTGAGTGACTTAGTGACTGAGTGACGGACGCTAATTCTAACAATGTTCTAGAGAAACTCGTAATCTTAAACTTGGTACACGTACCAATTGGAATGTAGAGTTGAGAAAAAATCAGAATTTGTAGGTACATGCCGTGGGGGCATCCATTTTGGGGGGAAGATGTTTCCAAAGATATAAATTTGCTTCAGTTAGACGGACAGATATGGAAATCTGAAACTTGGCATGGACGTCCCTACTGAGACATCCAGTTCATGGAAAATATCAGTTTTCATATGGATGCCCTGGGGGCATATTTCTGGGGGTTGATGTTTAAAAATTTGATATTTTCTCACATCGAATTAGGCATAGATAGAAAAGTTGATCTTGATAAATGAGTACCTATTGGGAACCTGAATCCAGAAATATTCAGACATTAGAGGAAAATGTCCCTGGGGGCAAGCATTTTTTGGAATAGATATTTGTAAGAAATTTGTTTTCTCCAGCAGAAGGAATAAACATGGAAAGCTGTAACTTGACATGGACGTGCCTACTGAAACTCTGAGTCGAGGAAAAATGCCAAGTTTCAGGTGCATGCCCTGGGGGCATGTTTCAGTGGGTCACGTTTTCAAAAAATACTTTTTTTCCTGCCATATTGGGAAGAATTAGAAAGCCGACATTTGGCACACGAATGACTGAGGAGATGTTGAGTACAGAATAATAAAAGTTATTCATGCATGCCCTGAGGGCAAAGCTATTGGCTGCGTCGGCTTTTAAAATATTTTTTTATTGCGCCAGCAAAAATATCAAACGGATAAGGGTAAACCTTGGTAAGCATGTAGTTCTCCCAGTGTTGATTTCAGGAAAAAAAAAAGTTACTTTTTAGGATAAATCTTCTGCAAATTTTTTTTCTCAAAAGACGCATTTTCCAGAATCCTTTCTGATCCAATGAAAGATAGATCGTAAGAAACTTGTAACTTATAATAATCGGACTATTTCGATGAAAATATTTGTTCGTTCTCTCTCGGCACCCATTTTGACAGGCACAAACTTTTCCGACTTTTTAGCCACTTTGAAAATAAGCTGAAGAATGGATCACTAACCTCGGCAATGGAACGCAGATTTACGCAGACATATGCCTTCAGGGCACATTGATGCATGGTGACGTTTTAAATTAATTTATTTCATTTCAGAAAAAGCAAAGACGTGTAAAATTTAAAATGAACGGGAAAATGCCTATTATGCTGATTTCCAGGAATAATTCCACTTTCAGATGTATGCCCTAGGGAACATTTTTCCATGGAAACGTTTTATGTTTTTTTTTTCTTTCAGTCAAAGGGAAATCGATGAATAGCTGAAAATGAGTATAAACACGGATATGCTAATTTAAAGAAATGTTGACTTTGGAGATGTATCCCTTGGGCGGCGCTATTTTTTATGGGTCGTTTTCAAAAACATTTTGCTTCAGTGAAGCGGATTTTAATATAGGACTGGGATGAACGATTTCAAAGAAAAATATTTTGTCGTTCGCACCCCCAGGGCATATATTTTGGTTGCAAAATGTTCTTAGAATTTTTTGCCACCATACTAGAGGTTGTTTAGGTGAGAGAACGAGTGAACTCTGAAGCACAATTTCGCTTAGAGAAAGCTGGATCGTATAGTCATATGGAAGTCGATGTCTTGAGGATGAACTCAAAAGTGACAGTTTTGGGGCTATGAAGAATCTCTGTTTAATGTTCCTAACATCGGATTGAAAATCACTTCACCTAAGTAGGAGTAGCTTAAACTCACGATTAAAAAATCCCAATGATCCAAGGAGTTTTACCCAATTTGTAGTTATGAGAATTGAAAAAGGATGCTTCAAATGTATTATTATTAAGCTTTATGGAGCGAATCGCGCGGAAGGCACTTTCATGGCACTTTCATGAGATTGTTATTCGAATTCGCTAGTATATTAAAATATAATAAAGTAACTGAAGATTACAAAACTAATGGGTGAAAGAAGGCCTCTGATGGAACTGGGCCATGCATAATTGCGCTATTTGTAGCGTAATATGGAGCGCAAAGTCATGAGAAAGGGGTAGACTGAAGTAAATGTAGTGGTAAACTGATGCTGGCACCGTTTCCCTATGAAGAAGCACTTCTTATTGAATCAAATCCGTTCATCGGGACTGTTTTGTTCCTTGTGACATAAAATTTCCGCTTTTTTCTCGCGTGTGTCCCGTTATTTGATCTTTTATTCGTCATTCCCTATTTATTTTTCTCATGTTTAACTAATTTTGGTTGTAATTTTCGCATATTGGCAGATGTAGCACGCTATGCCCTAGCATATCTTTCAAGCATGTCTGATTTGTCGAGAACTGTATATTAAAGTTTGGCATCGGAAACCTGTCTAAAACTATTCATAGTTGATGAGCTTGACAAAAAGTATTTGTATTGATACAAGGCCGCTAGTATCCATTAGAATTGATGGCAAATCTCTCTCAAAAGTTGCTTCAAATTCGGGCCGGATATATGTATTCGACCGACACCTATCAAACGTAATGAACATTAGAGTATTCATTAGCTAACATAAATATATTGCAACGGACAAGTGGAGGGGATGTTGTATTACCAGTCTTATAGCATCAATCGCAACCTTCCTTAAAAAAAAAAAATTAGGGAACTCACGCTTTCAAACGAGCAGAGTCAGGTGTTGGCTTTTCTCCTTCCAAGGCCTTCCCTATGTATTGGGAAAAAAAACGAGCCAGTAGTAATAAATGAAGCAACAAAGCAGGGTTTCATTCAAGGCAATGATCAGTATCAGAATCATATCAGTGGCATCGATATCAGTAGTCGCTCACATCTTGTCCGAAGTTCACCACATATATCGCTCTGTCCTGCTGTTTCCAAAATTTTCAGAAAGTTCTGAAAATTGCTGGAGTTTATCCTAGACGGGAGCATCATCAGCAGAATAATTTCCTTCTCCCTTTGTTCTGGTGGCAAATTAATTTCATCCAAATCTTGTCGAGACAGAATACCTGACTCCAAAAGTAGAATAGCTACTTTTTCCGGGTCCATATTCGTCATCAGGAACTCCCATTTCTCCTCGAAAAATTTTCGAAGAATTTGTTCCCCACTATTTGCTGTGGAGGAAGAAGGTGTTTATTGATAAATTCATTTGGTGACTTCATGCCATGATACAACTCTAAAACTTCCATGTATTTCAAGTTGTGTCCTTAGTAAGCCTGAAAGTGGCCAACTAAGATGAGATTTCATGAGTTTGTCTTACTCTTCTTATCCCATGTCTTTATTCCCTAAATTCCACTTGATTAGATGTAGGAGGTAGGTTTCACTCCTGATACTCTGTCATATATCAGCTTACCTTTGCTCATGTTTTCAGAGGCTGGTGTATTCTCTTTCCTGCAAGATTAAATGATAATGAGAAGAGCATGAAATCTTTGTTGGGACAGTTTTTCATCAAATTGTTATATAAACATACTTGAATGAAAACATATTTAGCTATTTGTGGTTTCACTCAGTTTGAAATCATGTATTATCAGACTTTCTGATGAATCTCCTTAGAAGTATTTGCTTGTGATATGTGCAGAATCACGAAACTACAATACCATTACTTATCAGAATTTGGTATTTCCACCAATATAGTTTCCAAGAATCCGTGGATCTCCTGAATACTGCTCTGAAGAGCTATTATTAGGCATAATTCACAACGTCATAGGAGTGGGTTATTCAACCAAAATTTTCATCAGATATGGAAATATATTATTTAAAAAAAATAAACAAATTTTCAGGGTAATGCCAGCTCTCGTGAATCAACACATCCACGAAGAGAAGTTACTGATGTTAGAGAGCCTTCAAGCATTGGAATAATTCGTCCACCAATAGAGCCCAAGTTAAACTCCATGGTTCCATTTTGGTCCTTGGGCGAGAAATACAACACTAAATGAGAAAAATCAGGTTCGTATTCGTATTCATTTCCTTGTTATTGTTTTTTCTCTGGATTGCCCTTTTAATAATATTAAATTAACAGATTGCTCAATGCAAAATGACAATGCTAATCAAAACGAATGTAACAGTAGTACTTGTGGAGTAAAGAAAAAATTAATTTGAACTTATCAAATCTATATTATTACATGTTCAAATTGGAGAAATTTATCAGGAGCCTCTCTCCCTCTCTCTGGCATCCCCTACCAACAAGTAACAGGAACCAATTCCTTATTTTCCTGTGATTCGCAGAAACCCATTCTACATTACAACAATCAGCTGGAAATTGAATTTTAATGGTTCAAATTAGGCGTGAGAACGGAGTTTTGAAACACCCTATACGTAATAACGTAGTAGAAGGATTGGTCGGTAAGGATTCTGATAAATGAGCATGACACACGGTCGATGTTAATATGCAATATTTGTTTATTGATAAATGAAAAATAGGCGAATGTATCTTTGTTAAGGACACAAAATATATTCAAAATTTTCCAAATTTAAAAAGCGCAGAAACTGTACTAAAATTGATGAAAGCATGTATATGAAAGGGACTTGTTAAATTATTTAACTTTTTCTAAAATATGAATTAAAGCAGCAGATGCATTTAAAGAATTAAAGTTCACTGTTCGAATATGGTTCCTTATTTCCTATACTTATTTCATTATGGAAATGCCACGTATGAGTCAATTTTAATCTGTGAAAAATACGTCATGTGTTTCTTAAATACTGTATATCGCTCCATTATGACAGATGATGAAAATTATCTAATAAACTTCTTTCATAGAATGTTTCATTTTAGATTTATAAATAAGTTACATTGTTCCCATTTAGTAAATGTTCGACCCCTGCATAAAAGCATCCTTGGAATCTTTTCAGCACAGAATTCAAAGCGGAATGAAACAGAATCAACATTTAAGCATATAAACACAAGATTTCACTAGGTATTTTTAGATCACCCAATATTGCATGTTTCCAGAAGAGGATTCCTAACCAGGGAAATCATCTCACAATTTGATTAACTTTTTCCTAGTTTTTCGCGAGCTATAACTCATTCTCTGAGACAACTGCACATCTTTAAAGGGCGACGAAATATTATTCCCAACTTGCTTCAGTTTTACCATTCAGTGACGGAGCAGAGAAACGAGGGGGATCTGATGGTTATCGTCTCCAATATTTTGATTTCGGGAAAACATGTGATACCATTCCTCATAAGAGTTTGAGGACTAAATTGGAGAAGCACGGATTTCAGCGTAGGGCCTGTAACGTCATCAGTAACTGGTTATTGGGGAGATAGCAGCGAGCAATGGTTAATAGAGAAGTCTCGACGGGAGTCAAGGTTGCAAGCGGTGTCCCTTAAGAAAAAGTCCAGGGACCGCTTCTTTATGTGTTTTCATTAACGATTTATATAAAGGCCTAGCAAGTAAAATTGTGCCGACGACATAATAATAAGTTTCTCCATCATATGGTAGGACAAGGCGAGAGCCAAGTAGGAATTAAAGATTTTGGACAAGTGGAGCAAGAAATGGCTCATGACATTAATGAAAAGTAAGCATAGCGTAAGGTTCTTCACATATGTCGCAACTATTGGTATATGGATAACTTCGGTGTCGATGAGTTCGAGGAGGCACACGGATAGAAGGATTTAGAGAGAGATATAAAGGGTGGCCCCAAAAGTGGGCACACTTTCCAATATGCATTTTGCATGTGATGCTTTAAAGAAGTTTATTACGTTTACATGTAATGGAAGGAAGACCCATTTACAAAATTTTTGTTTCAGACTTAAAATATGTTAAAGGATGGCTTAGGAAATAATTATTGAATATTGGTTACGAGAAATCGGTGTTGCGCTCACCAACTTGAGCCAATATCCACTCAACGTCCTGACAACCAAAAAAAGGGGAAGGGAAACGCTGACCTCAGCAGACGTCGCGAGGATGATTAGGATGTGCCTACAGGAAGATACGGTCGGCGAGCGCAACGTCCATTTTTCACAACCGAAATTCAATACATTTTTTCTAAGTCACCTTTTAACGAATTTCAAATCTGAAAAAAAGCATGTTGTTGCTAAGTCTTTCTTCTTTCCAATACATGTAACCGGGAAAATATCCTTGGAAGCAGCGCATGTAAAAAGCACATTGAAATAAGTGCCCCTTTTTGGGCATCCCTGTACGTGAGGAGCAGAAGTTCTTCTCTCACGGGCAAGTGACGGTGGCGAAATTTAACTAGATTTTAAGGTTCATTCGACGATCCACAGCCGACAAACGGTTAGCGTGTTTCTGTTATATGCGGCGCTGGTAAGACCCCGTTTCCACATGACATGCACATGACATTGAAACAACTCTGAGTCAACGTTCATTCAGAGTCCGGACGTTGAACTAACGTTAAATCAATGCAATTTCAATATCATAAATCATGAATCAAGGTAGCATATAACATTGAGTCAATGTTTAAAAAAGCTTGACATTTTTCATGAGCTCAGAGTGTCAGTAGGCCTGTGAATGTCAAGTTTCAGTTTTCCGTGTTCATCCGTTTGACTAAAGCAAAAAAATTTTTGGAAGCATCTAGCCCTGGAATGTGCACCCCTGGAGCATTTACCCCTAGAGTCAAGTAATTTCTCCACGCGCCTCTTAAAGCTCATGTTATATTCTAGGTTCTGGATTCCCAAAAACTGCACTTACAAAGTACATCTTTCCCTCGCTACTAAGAGCAGCGTCTGGCTGAGGTAATAATATACCGCGGGCATTTTCCTCGCCTCTACAAAATTTAAGTCTAAATGCAAATCAAAATCTAATTAATATGAATCTATAATCTATGAATATTAATAGTATCTTAATCTAATCATAATGCAATCCAAAAGCAAAAAGCCTTTTCTCCGCTTAGACTATTATTAAACTTATTTTAAAAGGGGTAACATTTTTAGACAGTTCCTACCCAGTCTACCCTAGTAGCATACGAACTATTGATATAACATTCAATCAACATTGATTCAACGTTGTTTCAGCATTTCGATGTTGAAACAACATTGAATCAAAGTTGTTTCAATGTCATATGCTACTAATGTAAATGTAATCTAAATATTAGGATGTGAGAGAACGCTCATTGTTCGAGACCATGTGGGAGTCCAAGATCATTGCCAATTAACTCAAATGTGATGAATATTCATATTTTATGGGCTCCAGTGTAGGTCTTAAAATGGTTTCACTTCTCAAGAAGTCTCAAGATAGGGTGAGGAACTCCGGAAGGAACTTTCAGTTGTATCACAGTTCATGGATGTTCCATCCTCCACATTAGATTTAGATTTAGTATTGGCTTTAGCTTAAAATGTAGATTTTGATTTAGCTTTAGATATATAGTCATGATGAGATGAAGTTCAACTGTGGCAAAGAACAGGCGCCTGAAGTCCTCACAAAAATGGGAAGAGGAGTCTCAGCATTTTTATGCGTGAAGATGGCGAGTAGCAGTAGCATAATACAGGGTGGGCCAAAAAGGTAACCAAAACTAAAGTTTATTATATTGTTATTCGTCAAATTGCTCTTGGAAACCTTTATTACGGCCAAATCCAGAGCTTCGAAAATTGTGTTCGACAATCCATACACACTCTTCAATAAAATATTGAGGCATGATAATTATCCAATTTCGCTCTGAAATGAAAAAGATATACTTATTTTCAGTCATCTTTTCTTCTGCCTACTCTGCAGCTGTAGAGCAAGCCATTTTTTATTTATTCAAATGTTCATGGCGTAGAATCAATGAGTAATTGCGAGAGGTGGTCCTGGCAAAGAGAGATTATATTGAAACTCCTTTCACTCTTGCCATGGAAGCATACAACTCCAATGTAGGTGATGTGGATTTTGCTGACTGGGTGATCAGTTACTATCCAATTCCAACAGCAATAAATGTACTTCACATGCAGTCTTCCATTTCTTTGACCTGCATGCATGAAACTTCTGAATCGAATATCGTACACAATACAAATTAAAAGGTGAATGTAATTGTATCTACCTGACCAGGGATCTCTAACTCCCAGCCCACAGGCCGCATTCGCATGGAAACGCCATATATGCCGCAGCGAGTTCGAGACTCCTGTTCTAAAACAAGTTGCTTGCCAAGCAACTTTCGTCTGATACAGAAGAACCTGAGTTTCTGAGCACCAGTGCAGAGAAAGAATGTACAGTGTGATTTTTTATTCATCAGAGCATTATAGATGTGCATAAAATTTGAACAAATGAAGTTAAATACACGAAATTTTGCATCGACAATCTATGAATATTTAAAAATTATTCTCCATGAAAGACATGTTCAATGTGCCATCCACTGTGTCCAGTCTCATGTCGTAGACGTGTGGCGTAATTCTGCACTATGGTTGGAAAATTATCCTGGGAAATGGTGTAAACTTCGCGTTCTGTAGTAGTCTTCTGGTCTCTCAAGGCCATGGATTTGACTTGAAGACTTTGTCCTTTGGGTATCCCTCATAGGAAATAGTCACGTGCATTGAGATTCAGGGGGGGGGGAAATAGTGACCATACCAACCCACGGTTGTCGGATATCTGGGAATCTGCTTGGCAGCATTTGGTGCCGATGTTATTGTGTAGGAAGTCCAGCATAACGTTCGTTATGTTGGCATGGACACCATTGTCCCCAAATCGTAAACAATGTGACTATTTCCTCTGGGGATACCTAAAGGACAAAGTCCCTAAGACAAATCCATGCACTTTGGGAGACCTGAAAGCGGCCACAGAAGATGAAGTCTACTTCATATCTCGAGAGAATTTGCAGACCGTATTGCAGAATTACACCACGCGTCTAAGACGTGATTGCGCGCAGTGTATGGCACATTGAGCATTCTTTTTCAGTGCCAAAGTGAGTACCAAAGTGACCTACTGCTTCCTCCTCCCATACCGGAACCTCGGGAGGAGGAGTAGATGTTCAAAGGAGCTCTCTTCCTTTTAGGATAGAGAAGATATAGTACTTGTAGGGCTGGGATTCTACTCTTCCCAAATCCCGTGCACTGCTGTAATAAAAAGCTTAACTTCAGCATTTAATGATTCCCTGAGTCATATATTATAAAAAAATATATAATAATTTCATGTTTTCCATATATATATTCATGGATTGCATAATAAAAAGTGGAAGGATGGTAATAAAACCTGATACTATATCAGGAAGACCAGAACTTAATAGTAATTGTAGGATACAAGGAACAAAGGTTTCATCTAGTGAGGAATCTTGGTACTGCAACTGCAGGATGGTCAGCTAAAGTTTCATATAGATGGTGTGGTGTTAATTTTTCATAAACTTGATATCATGTACTGCACGTCAGATGGATTTCATGGCAATCGCAAGAAATTTACATTGTTTGGAAAAAAGTGATATCTTGTTTACGTGAACATGCTGCTTGGGATCAGCTTGTTGCGTTCAGTGAAAACATAAAGGGTGATTTTTTTTTGCAGGGAGACGTACTTCCATTGATTTTATCGCTCCCAATAAAGGGATATATAGAGAAAATACTCGGAACGCCAGTACGTCCTTTCCATGCATTATGGTTATAGTGAGTGATTAAGCACCTCATGGCTGCGAAACAAACACATTTTGATCAAGAAAAATAAATGGTGGACAGAACCATGGCTATAAAAATATGAAGCTCAGCTTCGCCAGAGAGTTCGCAATAAAAATTCGTCCAGGGGCCCATTCCACAGGAGATTTACAAGCTACAAATTACAAGTCTATTACTTGTGGAATCAAGTTTCTGTTCGAAAAAAAGAAAATTGTACAAGGAAGATGTTCAAGTTCATTAATTTACAAGCGAATTGAGTTTGGGAAAATGGATTCTGTTCCGCAGAGCCAGATATTTTACAAGTATAAGTCTATAGACTTGTAGCACTAATTTCTACAATGCTTTCATGCTTGGTAAATGTATTTTCTGCACTCCTGTTTCTAGCGTAAACGATGGATTTTCCTGTTGGGACCATTTCATAGGGCATTATAGGTATAGTTTGATGTGGCACAATACAGTAGAGTTGGGCTCATGTGATAACGTCGGAAAAAAACTTGAAAGAATAAAATCCAGCGCCGTAGGAAATGAAATACCTCACTATTAGCATTGCCAGCTAAAGAATGATCGCATCAGCTTTTCTTGGTGTCCCCTTTGATAGAATTAACCTTGAATATAAAGTGTGGACTCTGGTGCACTACCAATGGACTCGAACAGCTTCCCCACTTTGTTGGGCATATTCGATTGCACCCTATCTGGAATACGTAGACTCTGACCTTCAGGCCAAGACATGGCGATTCTGCATATCCAGCTCCTCGTTATAAGAGATATCCATACGCTTTCATTAATGAAAGCTCTTTTGGTGTCATTCCACGAATGCTACTCGATAGGGAACTTCGAAATGCACTCAGAACTTCTAATATGAGCTGGCTCGAGTGCCTTGTACTTTTACAAGCACTCGCGCAAACTCCGTGGAACAGAAAATAGAAATACTTGTAAATACAGCCACTCCTCTTGTAACTTGTAGCTTTTAGCTTGAAAAACCTCTGTGGAATAGGCCCCAGAAGTGAATTCTCAGAGAGAGGTTAAAGGGGTGAATACAGAAAGCGCTTTACACTAGTAAAATGTAGTCAACCATTTACACATGCTCGAAACAGGGATTTTCTGATTAAAAGATAATATGACCTGTTCATCAGGCAAAGTGAAAACGAAGCTTCGGTCATGAATGGTTCAACATACACATTCTCCGAACTGAGATTACACACTTGTCATGAATTTGAGCTCATGCTTCGTTACATCCTCAGTAGTGAAGCTAGCAACATTAAGAAAAAAGGCAATATGATTTTCGAACTATCTTCGTGGAGTCTACGGTGTATCGAGATGTTCCCACATGATCTTGATTACATTCTCTGTTTCAATTTGTATTGTTCGTTCACGTAAAGCCTTAAAGAAATCTCCAAAAGTTGGTGATTGCTGCTCAGATGAAGTCCTAATCCACTCCTCCAAAAGAGCGAATAGTGTCATGAACGGATGAACGCTCATTTCCTTAATCGTTGAAAATACATCATCATCGATTACCGCCAGCATCCTTTCATGCTTCATGTCCTCAAATTTCGCCTGTACTTGTTGCAGAGGAGCTGCCATCTTCCTAATGCGGTCTTGAGAAAACAACCTGCAAATTTACATGACGTTTAGAAATACAGAGCAATTGAAATAAGTTCATAAAGCTGAGCTTCGTGTCACTTCCACAAAATATCATCGGTATTACTCTCAAACAATGAAATGATGCTGAATTCGTTCTAAAAAGTCATGGGCTGGACGATAAAGACCTGGAAACTCACTGAGTTTGAGGGGTGCGTGCGAAGTTGGACATCATTTTATCCATTCTTGTCCCTGTCAATAAGAGGTATTATTAACGTAAAATAACAAAATAGTTATGATCCATTCCTAGCGTATTGAAATGTTGGTGAAAATATATTTCTCGGGATTAAATGATTGCTTTTTATGACCACATATTCATTATTGCAACAGAAGTAACCATATATTTTACTTGCGACATTGATTATTTTCAAGCCTCATAATAATCATATTTCCTCATATCATTCTATCACTAGTGACGAAAGTCTCTCCCCATTGTTTCGATCCACACTAAAAGCGTGCTAAACTTGGTCCTCCATTGAGAGCCAAGAAAAAGTTTTGTCATATTTTTCACAGTTACAGTTATGGAGGGAATGACTTCCAAAGCACAGGTTGCAATAAAATATAAGAAATAAGCGAGAATTTCCATGGTATAATATTTTATAGATAATCGTAACGGGATTTCAGATTTCTGTATCTGCCTCTTTACTGAAACAATAAATATCGTGGAAATTTTCTACCCAAAAAGTATGCCCCAAATAGGAATATCTCCAAAGAAGATTTATTTTCCAGATATACATCTGGACCGCTAACTTTGGCCTGAATTTCACTTTACGTCTATCCATTTTGTAAAAGCGAAAATTGTTGGGCATATGGGCGCTTGAAAAATTCCTGTTAAGGATGTACCTAAACAATCGAAAATTTCTAAAAATTTGTTCCGCAAGGTCGGCAGGATTACTAAATATCACTTATGTATTGATGTTTTTCCACTAAGAAGCTTCTTGCAGTGAACATGTATTTCTTAGAAAATTTTGAAGAAAAAAAAGCCCTGGAAAAAAGCCAGGTTGAAGTTGAGAATTCGACGAAAAATCAATATCGATGAAATGCTTGGTATTCGTAATTAACCTTATTTTCAGCATTTGCTGACTACTCGTGAGTTATTCCACATTATTTCTACAGAAAAAAGGTTCTACGAATCAGCGCGAGATGGCGGCTAAGCGGTGATTCAATGATTCTTGCCCTGATCCCCAGAAATAAACAGTACCCTGTATTTTTATACAGTACACTATCCTTTCCCATGTATAGATACAACGTAAGGGAAGGCATAGGAATTTCTAGATAGACATGTTTAAGGAGGAAATCCGACAGAGGGACATAGAAAGTGCTTCCGGCCAGTGGGTCGGAGGACACATGTTCAATTTTCCTAAATCTCCACATGGCAGCTCATCTTCAAAAAAATGTTGAGAGGTCGCCCCAAGTCTGAGCTGGGCAAGCACTTCCTGCATCATGACAATGCACCGGCGCACCGGGCGACCAGCACCCTGCTCTTCATTGGCGCTACTGGGATCCAGCTGATTGAGCCGCCACTTTACTCGCCGGATTTGGCGCCTTGCGACTTTTTTCTGTTTCCAAAAGTGAAGGTACCATTGCGTGGAAAAGTCTTTGGAACCCGAGAAGAACTGATTCAGGCGGTGGAGAATCAGCTGAAGCAACTAAAAAAAAAGATATTCAGCACTGTTTTCAAAGTTGGCTCCGGCGCCTTCAAAAGTGCATTGATATTAGCGGCAGTTATGTTGAAAAGTGTTAAATAAACACAGTTTCAGAGAAAAACATGAGGAAACAAATATTCGGCTATTTTTTCATTGAAAAGTCCGGAAACTTATGCAGGACCTATGTTTTATAATTACATAGTAATGTAATTATAAAACGCTCTACACTATTAGAGAAAGCGCTTACATTGATCTCGAAGTTTTCCCGCTAGGTCATCCTGCTGGGCTTCATCCAAAACTTTCAGAAATTCCTGGAAAGTCTTTGGATTGATGTTTCCCACTAGTTTCACCAAAAGGACAACTATATAATCTTCCTCCTTTGGTAGTATCGGAATGTCTGGAGGAAGAAGTCTTGATCGGGCCAGACATTTCTTCATCTTCCCATCAGTCATGCATTTCTTCATGGCATCCCAATTCTTCTTAAATAGGCCTTTTAATAACATTGATGACTCACCTTTCACCTCGGAATAAGAAAATTAACGATATTACTTTTTCACAAAAATGGAAGATAAAAGATGAAAATATGTAATTCGACCAATGACCAATCAAGTTAAAATTAAACTACATAAATTTAAAAGCCTTTCCTTTTCCAACTACCTCGGGCAAAATGTAAGCTTTCCAGTATTTCCGCTATGCGCTATCTCATGTTTCAGGTGGGAATGGTAGCATTTTAAATATTGGAAAGTAGTTAAGACGAAAGCGAAGTACTCGCTTTCTTGAAAAATAGTAACGAAATAAGTCGAAGTGATGTACTTCTGTCGGATGTCGGGTTTTACCATGTTACACCAGTTAAAATTTCTCTTAGCAGCAAAGAATGGGAATAGAAAATCCTCTTGACACTAATTTTAGTACCTTACTATACTTTTATACTTTATTATACCTATTATACTAGTTTGACATTAATATACAGAGCATCCAATAATGGCTACGTCGGTTTCAAGTCAAAATATCTTCCCTATGGGCTAATATAGAAGCATGGGGTTGCACTAAAATAAATGTTAGGGTTGAGAATTTACTCACAGTGGATAATATTCTTAATAGTCTGTAATTTCTTGCTGTGAGGCGCAGTAATCCAGTTCCAGCTGTGTCCCGCTCAAAAAGCAGTTACAAGGTTCTCTTTTAAAAAAATCAAAGACTGAATATTGTATGATGCTCTGGCGAATCTTTCCGAATACTGATGTTTATATCTTTCAGTCCTTTTTGCAATTTTTGGTTTTCCTTTAGCAGTTGGAATCATTGTTGACACTCGTCTTTTGGAATCACCAGCAGCACCGTGTCGCGTTAGTAAAGCTGCTTGAAATGCCCTGATATTTCCTCGATTTTGCAATTTCAGCGGTTTCTGTGCTACCCAACAATATCCGTGCTTCATCAGCCATCGAACTCGCTGGATTCAGCTCGAAGGCATTTATATTTTTTCCTTAAGCTAAAGAATGTGCTGAAATGATGGGTATATCAAGCATTAAAATAAAATTGTATTTGAGATGTGAGCACTGCTAGTGATTCCAGAAGATAAATGGCAGATTGGTTCCAGCGTCTGAAGTAACACCGGTTAATGTGTGCAGATACGGATGAGGACTACTTCGAAGGATATAGCCATCAGTAGTCGAAAGTAGTCATTGCACCTTCGTAAGAAATTCAGTCTTGAACTTTTTGATAACATATCGTAACTGCGTTTGGAGGGACACAGTGGAAACTGATTTACAGCGTCTCACAGCAAGAAACTAAGCACAACTGAGAACATTGTCCAGTGTGAGTAAATTCGTAGCTGTAACCTTCGTTTTAGTGAAAACCGCATGCCTCTATGGTTGCCTATTTTGGAGATATTTCATCTTGAAACAGATATAACCATTCTGGGATACCCTGTATTCGAAGCGCCATTACCGTTGCAAACGCTTAATTCCAAACAATATTACTCATTTTACCTTATGGGGCATGCAATTCGATTTCGAAGTTGAAAGTAAAGTAAAATAATTGCAGTTGTTGCTTGCTGTTCTGAAGTTTAAGTCGTGTTCTTCACCTTTATGCAGAGAGTATAGAAGGTAAACGCTAGATAACTTATGAAGCAACTTGAGATGGAAGTCTCGACCATTGTTGCTTAGGGCAAAAGTGCGGCATAAAATGGAACTTCGACGTTATAACGGCTCGGAATAAAAAGGGAAAACCTAACATTGATAGCAAGGCATATCAGTAAGCCTTTCAGAGAAGAAACAGATCATGAGAAATCTAGTTTTGGACTCGTTGAAATATTAGCGTAGAAATCACATGGAAATGAAGCAGATAAACATTGCATGGTGAGAACATGAGCATGTTGTTAAGTGAATTCTGCATAGTTAGCTAGGGACTACTTTTTGACACTCTACACCGGAAAAAATGTATAATGCAGTTCAACCATTTGTTTTCGATTCTCCCGCCCAGCAAAGTAATCAAACTGATTCGATCATGGGTGTATTTCGTTGTGGCTTTAAGTTACATCTGCTAGTGAGAGATCATTGTCAGCCTAATGTGACCGATAGGAAGCTAAAGGAGGTGCTTCATTTCTTCACGAAATATTAATCGTAAAACATCTCCTTTATATGGGGCACAAGTTTGAAAAACCTTTTTTTGAGGGAAAGCTGATGAGATTACACATTCCCTACCGCATAAAATAACTCCAGGGTGGGAGGACAAACACCGCATGTATTTCTAAGGCAGATATGAAATAGGGATTTTAGAATATAATGCTTTGTGCATTGTAAGATATTACTTTTGCAAGTTTTATCGTTTTAGAATAAACATTTCGCGAATCCACTTTACGAAGGTAACATTGCAATATGCTTCAGAATATGCCTGTGATGTTCTGGGGAATTACAATCTCCTGAAAATGATGAGCTCATCAGATATTATGATGAACATTTTCATCTCTCCACTACTATGTAATTTGCTGAAAAGAAAAATAATCTCATAAGCGCTCCCACACAAAAAAAAATGTGCTCTGAGGACATGGCATCAAAAAAGGATTTTACTCGTAATCATATTTTGTAGGAGTCTCATCTCTATGAAATTCAGCTTTCTTTACATTACAATTTCCAATTTTTGAAAATACTTCCTACAAAAATGTCGGACGTTTCTAACCTTTCCTTACGAACGTTTCGAATCGTTACGAACCTGTGCATTTGTCACATAAATGTAGGGAAAATATGGACCTCATGAGCTTGTAAATAAATTATTGACTCTTTTCGTGCATTACATAAAAGAACATGCGCAAAAAGAAAAGAATTACGCAAAAGTCAAGAGAGGCCATCGAAGGGACGTGGAGTTTGTTTGCCCGAAGGGGAAACAAACTCGCTAGTAATAGGTATTTGTGCTGAGTTCATGAGTTGAGCTGGGAAAGAAGTGGTTAACAATTATTGATCCATGTGGTGGGATATGTAGATGTCTTATCCCGGACATCCCTGCATCATCAGGATGGCGCGTAGCATGGATTCTATGCTTCTTGAAGGCATTCTCCCCGCAGACCTGTTCGAGATGGTTCGAGGAACTCCAGATAGGCCTACCGCTCCACGTCCCACTCAAATGGTTCGTGAAATGCGAAATAGGCCTCCAATCGGTCTAATGTGGAACGTCCTCTCTGAAATGGCTCGTGAACGCATGAATAGATCTGCGATGTCCTAACGGTACACGTCTTCAACCACATGTCTCGACGACTGCGATTCACCCTTATAGGACTAATTGGCACTGTAAGTCGAGAATTAAGTTTCTTTTAAAAAAAAGGTAGGCCTTGGCGGGACCTGAAGGCAGTCTGCTGGTTAGCCCTAAGCCTAACGTTAGTAAGTCCCGTAGAGAGGAGGGGGGATGAAGAAAGGGAAAGCCTTTGAAAATAGGTTTTCACATCAATTCATTCTATGTATATACCAGATATTATGGAAGGATAAAAGGTGGTACAGGGGTTTATATTAGGATACGGATTAAGTAATAAAAATCCGATTTTGGAGATATATGCTATTCGGGGAGCTTGGGGAAAAATGTTTTCAATTTTTTTTTTTGCTTCAGTCATACGTATATACATGGAGAGCTGAAACTTGGCATAATATGATTGCTAACACTCTCAGTTGAGGAACAATATCAATTTCTCAATGGCTGCTTTAGGCTCAAATTTTTTAAAGTGACGTTTTAAATAAATTAATTTTAGCCATGGAGAAGTGAAACTTGGCACACTCATTAGTGAGATAGTGCTGATTTCAAGAAAAAATCGAATTTTGTGGGTTATCCCCTCTTTGGGGGCATTATCGTTCCTAAGATATATTTGAGCCAGGAAATTGGGCAAAAGCATGATATTGAAACTCGATGGGCACGGAGTACCAATTTATGTGAAAAATTTTTTAGGTTAATCCTAGGGTTAATCTTAGGGCACATATTTTTCGAGGTGCATTTTCAATCCAACAAAACAGAGAGCAATAGAAACTTGAAACTTGGCACGGAAGTACCTATTCAATTGCTAATTGCAGAAAAAATCCTACTTTTGAAGTGTACCTCCTCAATGCAAATTATGGGAATGAAATATTTCAAATTTGATTCTTCCCTGCTGATAAAAAAGGGCACTTGAAGAAATTAGATTTAAGGCACAGAAGAAATCATCGGAGTAATGATTTCAATAAAAATTTGTCATTGGGACAAAATATGCAGTACATGAGGAGACCGTGCATGAGTACATTATCATGCACCGCCTCCTGGGCATCCGCTTCGCTTGACATACTCCAAAAATTGTCATGGCACGAAATTTAAATGCAAGTTAAAATCCTTCGAGCAAAAAGCTAAAAGGGCTTTCTACGCATTTTTTGGTCACTATTCAGACACACATGCAAAAGCTCTGCAACATTTTCCTGCAATGTAAGACCTCTTGTTTTACACTCGTAACGCGTGTTTGCGTTAATTTCTTATTGATTACTCCTATCGTGCCCACAGTCCCTAGATACAGTCACCCAATCACGTGCAATGCTACTCAAAGCCAAAAGCGTTCTTGCGTAAGGTAATGATGTCGACTTTTTTGCTAGTCCTCAATGCAGTCAATGTTGTTCTTTTTCAAGTACTGAGCCCCCTTTATATGTTTCAAGGTACTCAGCATGTTCCAACATATTTCAGAAGTACCTGAAAAATCTTGACTTGTTTTTGAGACGGGGCCATATTCCCCCAACAATGCAGGTATTATGACCTCTGGGGACGAACTTGGAAAACCTCCAAATGTGCAATATCCAAGCGGTTTTTTGCATGTACATTGCTGGGATTTAGTGAAGGAGATATGAATCAGTATTTTCGGAACATTGTAAAAGTCAAATTCGACATTGATGGGCAGTTCTGACCAGGTTTCATTTTGTACGGCCATATTCCCCCAAATTGCCTTATTCCTTGCAGTATTTACCCGAGTAAATGCAGTCATGCTTATTTAACAATGCATTTGGTTGAAAGTACCTAAGTGCTCAATACGATCAGTTTTATGTTCTTCTTACTGGTATAATTTCCTTTTAAGTTGAACGCTAAGGTTTTGTACCTGAACAAAGCATTTTGGCTTCTTAAGAATAACCAGCTCAAGCTGCAAAGCAGTTACATGCTATTCGACTGAATATCAGAATTGAATCATGGCAACTTTCATTTATTCAAGAGAATAGATAGCGAAAGGGCTCACCTGAAGTCATATTCATTGCATTTAAAAGCTGTTGAATCACATCGTCTCTTTGTATTTCTTTCAGAATCTTCAGAACACAGTTGTATGCTGACATGTTATCCGTCTTAAATAAAATATAGAAAACTGCATCTATCTTCTCTTCGTGATCTTTCATCTTCTTTATCTGCTCCTCATCCTTCATATTTATAGCATTCTTCACTGTGAGGTTATCAAGGAAGCGATGCACGTCGAAGGCCTCGATGTGGTACTTCAAAATGTTCCTTAGTCGTATCAATGCGACGTGGTAATCCATCTCCCTTGATCTAACCTGGCAATGCCGCATGATTCATGAAGACATCATAAAAGAGAATTGGCAATATTAAAGGCACTGAAAGGCACTTTACTCAACTACACAATTTGGTTAAGCAAAGATGACAAAAGCTCGTACATTCATGGGAATGTGGAACATGAGATGTAATGCATGGTTCATAGGTAGAGAATGCAGCATACTGCATGTATACTTTGAGCGACATTGTGTCGGGAGTAATTTCATCGACTTTTTCCTCTTCCGAAGTTTGTGCTTAACAATGAATTTACGCAGGATACCTTTTAATGCATGATAATAAATTATTTCCTAAATTCGGTTTAAGGGCTAAAATCACACGATATTAGGCAAATTTCTTTCATAATTTCTCCATATGATGCCACGTATTGCGTTTATGTCTTCCTTCATTGGGGGAACATCGCCTTCTTTAGTGATTTTTTCATTGGATGGTGTGAATCGTCATAAAGAAGTAAGTTCCACTGGGAGAAACTAATACATGTACCATTTTCAATTAAAATGAAAATGAAACTATACTGCATTCAGTAGACATCAGGTGTCGATCAGGTTCCTTTTCTTATCTCTCACTGCCCATATATAAGTTATGTTCTATCAATTCCCATGGGGCACTTAATCAATGACCAGTTAGTCAGAAGGCAAATGAATTTTCCTTGAATATTTTTTAACCGTAAACCTAATTCGATCTGACATGGGACAAGGGAAACCCATCACGAAACATTAAAATGTAATTTTTATTCAAATTTGAACACTATAAAACCGTTCGATCATTTTAAATTAATTTGGTTAACTTATTTTAACTGAAACATCTAAATCCAAGGGGGAAAATTCCAGTCATCCTCATGGAAAACTATTGGGTTGGAAAGAGAGTCTTGCAACACTACGCAAATTTTCGATATTTTATAACTTTATTGAAATGCAATTTCAGTCTACAATGTAATGATCATTGTTGTCTTATGACATGTTCCCAACGCAAGGGGAACTGCTCGATGCCATTTGCCAACTCTGGCGATTACGAAGCGAACAAACGGCCGACATCATTTTCGAGCTGTGATCGATCGTCGAAGGCCTTCTCCCGCAGGTGATTATTGAGGGCGCGGAACGAGTGATAGTCGGAATGGGCCAAGTCCGGAGAATACGCTGGATGGGGTAAAACTTCCCAGCCAGGTTCCAAAATCGTCTGGCGAGTCATCTTCGCAACATGTGGACGAGCCTTGTCATGCAGAAGGAGAACTCTGTCGCGTTTGGGACGCTCTTTTTGAATGACAACAGCCAACTTCTGAAGTCGAGCAGTGTAGACGACGGCAGTCACGGTGGTACCGGTTGGCAGGAGCTCATAGTAAACATTCCTTCTGAATCCCANGTTGCCCTTGAATGCAGCGCAAATGTTGTCCGCGGCGGCTCTCGCAGAGTGTCCTTGGAGGAACTCGTAGTAGACGATGGGGCGAAGAGTTGCTTCTTTGATCGGAGCCATGGCTGCCAACTAATGGCAGAAGCCGCCTCATACAGTATACCCCGAGGGCAGAAGCTTCGAGAACATTCCAGCATATACAAATGCAAAGCCCCGCCCATCATTCCTTTGAAAATTTTTATAAATAGTTTTAGAAAGTGTTGCAAGACTTTCTTTCCAACCCAATATTATAGCATTACTAAGACAAATATGAACAAACGGATGTTAAATGTGACTAAGGAAGGTGAAATGTGCTGCTGTGCTGTTTGGGTGCGTCACGAACGACATAAGGAAAGTCAACTGTGTCGCTGTGCTGGATGCCGGATTTCAGGGAAAAGCTTTTTCGACATAAGGAAATTCAAATTCGACAGTTGTGAGACTTGAGGCATTGAATCTTGGTCGGGCTCGAAGAGAGATGCCCTCTCCGCGCATATACGTAGCAAAAATATTGAAATGAAAATTCGCGAGGGCATGTACATGCGGCCTCACTATTCCATTTACCATGCATACAATGTTTGATTTCAATCCATGAGAGCGAAAACTATAGGTAGTATCCAATGGAATTCAAAATTCATTGAAATAAATCAAACTTCTCATGCAATTCAAATGTGAGACTCGATGCTCAAATGTGATACGATGCTCAAATCTGCTCTTTCAGCAGTAAGCAGTAGTTTTCTCGCAGTATTTTTCAAACTGCCTCCTTTTGAATAATAATAGTACATTTCTGTTGACAAAAAAGCCATTTCCAGTGTAGCATGGTTCATGGAATTCGATTTATTGTGCAAAAACTGCCCCAACTATAATCCGTTCTTCTAAGGTAATCATGCCATTATTAATGAACCTGGTTAATTGATTGAATTGATGCAAGAAAGCACGTTTGGAAAGAATTCTTGGACTTACCCACAGTATGAACAATCTAACACCATGAGATTATGAACATTTTCATCTCGTGTTACTCACTGCACTGGAGTTCCAAGTGATCATGTGTCATTTTAGTAAGTAACGTCATCCCATATGTTCGATTAATATATCAATGTAAGACCCACCAATGACTAACTTCTGATTATGTCATTGTCATTTCTGCTCCGATAAACCTTATCTGGGAAAACTTAAAATGCAGTATCCATTGAACCACTGTCTTAATAGTTTTTGAATTGCGAAGGTACATTCAAATTCGAGAGGGGGTAGCAGTGAAAATAAGTAAAATAAATATGACTAAAATCCCAATTTCGAATAATTTAACCTCTATGAAGAAAAGGGAAAAACGGAAGAAAATCATTTGGTATATTTCTCCTGGAAACAATGATTAAACACCCTAGGATATCAGAATTGCGCTGGAATCCATAACGCTTTCAGAAGCATATTGAACAACGCTCGATTCAAGAATGGATTCTACCTTCATCCATGCGCAACTCAATTCCTGCGTATCCCTGAAGGCCTGTGTATTTTCGACTTCTCCTTTATCTAAGTATTCAACATCCTGATAGAGGGTCGCAAAATCAACGGAGATGTAACACGCTATACCCAGAAAAACCGGAGCGGTCATTTTGTTTCGCCACAGAAAAATCAATGTATTTCACTTATCATCCAAACAGCGATTCATGTTCAAAATTTCATCTATCATATGATAGAACATGGTCAGTTACACACGATACATGGTCTCAAAAAAAGTAAGCCACTTCATTTTTTCAAGTTTTCCCATGTATTTGAATGTTGATGTATTTTTTACATCAACATTATTTGCTGTAGACGTTAGGCCTATCTCTATTCATAAAATTTTTGTTGGGTCATGAATAACAGCATTCAAGATTGCGAGGAACATCATGGGATTCAGTGAAGAGGAAAAACAATTGATCGCGAGCGATGAAGAATATTCATCATCAGTTGCACCTGACTATTTCTTAAAAAGTTATGACCAAAAAAGATCAACTGTTACATGCCACCATTCAACTTTGACCATATCTTTTGAAAGAACTTTCGAATGCAGCTTATATTTGGCAGAGTGATTCATAGGCCTAAACGGATTTTTTCCATGCCTAAAAAATGCCATAGCAAGTAGGTAGGTAGCGCAGCCGTCGAAATTAGCGCCCTCTATCGGCATGCAGCGCCACCTTGCGGAGAAAAAACCGCCTTGACTCATGAGCCTCTCTCTAAAATATCACCTGTATCTGACTTTCCCTTAAAAAGTTATAGTCAATGAAAATAGTGGCCTGACTATGCAGCAATAATCCTGTATCACTGAAAATTGAGAGAGCCAGTTATGAGCCTATACCTGTTTCTTTGCCGCAAGTTTTGGTGCTATTTGTCTTCGTTTAGAGAGCCCTTTCAATGACCAAAGTTTGGTGAAAATCTGAAGTTATCACTTGAGTAGTTTCCCGTTAGATGGAATCCTCCTCATCCGCCGGATATCTCATGCGCAAAAAAACCATGAGCCTTGCTCGATATTGGAAGATGTTATTTAAGAAAATAAACTGGCATACTTTCTTTCAAAGACATGACTACGTCACCTGAAGCTCCTTGTGCGGAAAGTCGCGTGAAGGGAAAATGAAATCTTTCTAAATCTGTTTAAACTCACAAATACATTTGATAAATTCCTCTGGGTTTCTTCCAGGGATGACAGATATGTCACATACCAACATGGAGATGCATCGAAGGATGGGTGTCATGCAGAACTGGAGTGCATCTAGTATTCTTGCAATTTGAAAATGATGCGCAATAAAAGCAATTTTAGGACCGACACGAAACTCAAGGCAGACAATAAAACTGAAAATGTGGTTGAGATATCCTCTCCGCGTGATAAACGAAGGCCGTGTGATCTGCTACCACCACCATGAGTGATAATTGGATATCTAATCTCAGTCTTAGCTCGATTTCCTGTTACAATAAAAAAGACCAACGCTGCGAGTGGAAATACGGATCGGAAGTGAGGGAATGCGCATTGATCAATTTAAAATTTACGTTGTAACTGCTCTTCATGACGCAGCATATGGCATTATTGGGCAATTATTGGGTACGTTAAGTAAATTCTAATATCGAAAAATAATTAAACTTGAGCGTTTCTTACTTGTTATTCTTGTGAATTTTGTCGGAGAAAGGTCCGACTAGGAGGGGTTACCTCATCCAGAAAAATACATGAATCTTTATTTGGGTGGAGGCGTGCCCAATATCAATTTACATATAAGGCCTACGGATATGTATCACATGGCTTCCAATAAGACCTATACCAATTCATAGGATATTTCTTCTACAGACCACAATTGACACCGGCACCGGCCAAATGTGGCCAAACAGCCAAATGTGGCCACAGGTGCATCTCTAATAAAAAAAAAGGCAGCTTCTCAGATGATAACATATGACTTTTACTGTACATTCAGAACAACCCTCGCAACTACAGAAAAATGAATATGAATTTTAGGACATTTAAAGGATGCGTGGAAATCGTGGCCGAAAATAAAACTATGACTCGCTATCTGCCATCGCATGAACTCCAAGGAGTCTCGAAGAACGACGCGATTTTTCTTGGCCTCATCCTTTATATTTAATCCATCCATCCATCTTCAATGCCCGCTATTCCTTTCGGGTTGCGGGGGCAGCAGCTTCAGGAGAGTCTTCCAATGGCTTCAGTCCTCCGCCAGCAAGTTCTTCTGGATATAAACAAGACGTGACCTTGCCAGGTCTTCGGTATGACCACCTAGTCCTAGGTCTGCCCCTTGGTCTCTTTCCCTTTGGCTTAGCAAAATGAACTTGCCTTGCAAGTATTTTTTGTGGCATCCTGACCACGTGCCTGTACCATCGTAATTGTAATATCTCAATTTGGAGAAGAGGAGGTTCACACCCGAGTGTTTCCCGGATTTCTGTGTTCCGGAACCTGTCGAGTATCGTGGCATCAGCAATCCTTCGTAGGAATCTCATCTTGGCCCCTTGTATTCGCGATCGCACTCTTCCAGTAATTACCAAACACTCATGACCATAGGCGAGGATAGGAGTGTAGGCAGACTTGAAGACAAAGAGTTTTGCCTTTGTGCCATGCTCCTTCCTCATAACCACAGACCGGTTTAGCTCACGCATTACTGTGGAAGCTTGACCGATCCGTGTGACTAGTTCCACATTCTGCCTACCGTCACTTGTGAATACCACCCCAAGATATCTGAACTTTTGCACCTGCCTCAATGAGACTCCACTGACATGCAGAGTTCATTGAGTAGGCTGTCTAGAGAGGACAAAAGACTCGGTTTTGGCCACGTTGATCTTCATCCTAGCCTCATCACATGCCACTGCAAACCTGTCTAGTGCCTGCTGCAGGTCAGCGTCGGGGAATTCAAACAGGACAAGATCACATGCAAAAGGCGAATGACTTCTTTGGACATCTCCTGCCTTAGATGAGTCAGGAAAAATTGTTGGCCTCAAATGAAAGCTGAGACTAAGCTTAATCAGATTTTACAGGTTTTCGCTTTCTGCAGTTATCCTTGTTACCGAACAAATATAACATGGATTTTCTTAATTTTCATAAAGTGGGAATCAAGGTAACACAATGAGCTCCTGATGAGTTAAAATTGCACTTAGCATGAACCCCCAAAAATTAATATCTCAAAGAAATGAAAGGTCAATGCCTCTCCTATTGATATGCAAAATTACAAGAGAAATAATATTTTTATTTATTCCATCCATACATTTTTGAGTGAGGAGATCCCTTCTATGAGGCATTCTGTCCATCCTTGGCATTGGAACCCTGGTGACAACCAGACAAACTCCTCCGGAGACCAGTGAACAAAAGCAGTTCAATTATCCCACATTGTCAGAGTAAATTTCACTGTCAAATCATCTCACCATTTGGACTTTCATGTATATTTACACGTGTCAAGAAAGACACTCCAGCAACTAAAACCTTACCATGTGAATGCAGCCCCCAACTCCGGAATTCGGTTGTGTTACACATTCAAGTTACTGGGAGATAGTGGTATCATTACTCGTACAAACCGCTTGAGGGGAGCAAAACAATATCATCTTACAATAGGCTGAACCTGGGAAAATGATTCATGATGTTAGTCTACTCCTCTCCAGAGACATGCTCGACTGTCGAACTCTGTTCTAGCTCAATTAAGGCCTGTAGTAGCCATTAGACCATTAGGGGTTAATTTTCTCACGGAGGGCTATTTTGGAGGTCAATATCTTTTAAACCCAGGCTCTGAAATATGGAATGCCATCGTATTTCAGAGAGGTCATCATGAATGATGTTTTGAAACGAAATCGCAGTCGTACACGCCACCACGATTTCGATTACTTCAGGGAGAATGCAAAGTGCAATTTAACTTATCAGGAGCTAATTATGTTACCGTGATTCCCAATTCATGAAAATAAAAAAATGAAAATCCTTATTATATTTGTTAGGAAACGAGGATAACTATGGAAAGCGAAAACCTGTCAAATTTGATTAGTCTTAGTCTCAGCTTTCGTTTGAGGCCAACATTTTTTCCCTGGCTCAACAAAGGCGACAGATAGCCGTCTGACCTTTGGGGTGACATTTCCCCCTAGAGTCGAACTTTTGAGGCTTAATATCTTCAAACCGTTTGGGCTAGAGCTCTGAAATTCGGAATGCCTACATAGCTCAGGGAGTTCATTATGCATTAATTTCTTCAATGAAATCCCAGTCGCACACGCAACCATGATTTTGATTACTTGAGTTGGAATGCCTTATTTGTGGTAGGGATCTTCAAACTCAAAAATTTAATGATGGAATGCGAAAAAAATATTATCTCTCCGTAATTTTGGAAATTTGTGGCAGAGTCCTTAACCTTTTCATGGTATTTTCATGAGAACTTCAAAGGTCAAATATTTTGTCCATAAGTAACATTGCGTGATATTCAAATGATACTTTAATACAAAATTTGAATATTTTAGGCAATTTCAAGTGAATTGACACCTTAGCTTAGGTCCTAGTACAAATAGTTTTTGAGTTACAGTGATATCAAAATCAGATGTTAGAAGATGACCCTACATTTTCCCCAACCAGTAGCATCTGACCTATTGACCTGATGGGGCTGTAATTATAAACGTTCGAGTTTTCGGGGATAATAACCTGGCATTAAAAATTTTATAAAAATCTGAGTCGGTCAGGTGTTAATTAGCGAAAATTTTGGTCGTTTTGTCATGGAATCACCCTATTCCCGAATCGCAGGTGCGACACAGTCCTCAAAGTTCGAAATGCCAAACTAGGAACTTCACTTCACCTCTGTTCTGGTCGACTCCTCATTGACAGCTGTCGTAAGATGTAGTCTAGGAAAAGGCAAACTTGAGAATGAAAAATGTGCGAGCCATTACTTCAGACAAAGCAGTTCACATGAGAAAATCTCGCGAGTAATGCGAGAGTTCAGGTGTTGGTGAAGAAGAGAGACTAATGTAAAGCGTCCCGGAATGAATACCCCCGAATCCACTCTTCAATATGATGAACGACGTGTATGAATGTTCCATATACATAACCATGCGAAAAAGTAGTATAGGAATCCTATAGGAATGTATAGGAATCTTAAAGGAACATATGGGAATCCAATCGGTTTCCTATTGGACCAACAGGTTATATGGGAATATAGTGGAATCCAATAGGTCTTCTACAAGACCGTCAGTCTCAACAGGACGAACCCTGTAGCACTAGAAGGGCCGGACCAACCTGCATACCTGGAAGGGCCGCAAGCGGTCATTTCTACCGCTACCGTTAAATAACCATCTGGTGTGCTCCTGAGAGGCTGATATCAACTGACTATCGACTGACGGATATTGACACTGTTAGTATCCTTTTTAGTTTGGAAACAATGCAAAAATTGTACGTTAGACAGTATAAAATACAAAATATTTATGTGTGATTTTTTGGTGAAAGTGAAAAGTACAAGCCTCACGTTCAAAATTTTGACAAGCAGTCAGTGCAAGCGATTATCTTGTCTGAACATTTGCCACAAACGGCCTTGTTGCAGGCAGAACATTAGTCAAATACTTTGCTCCTTTTGCATTTGATAAGTACTTGACATTGGCATCGCTGCGGTCACCTTGAGCCTGAGGCTCATTTTCCGGTAGTGTGCAGCGTTGGGGCCTTTCCTTCGTGTACTCTGCCCTTACCTCATCTATTGGTTGGAGAATGAACTTGTATCGAGAGATCCCCTTTCCAGTAACATCTTTGTAGTTGACCCAGCCATTGATTGCTGCCACGTCAAGGACATTGTGAAAAACGTGTGCAGGCCACCTGCGAGACGCAGCCCTAACAGAATATTTACGAGCCATTTGGTCCACTATGTCCACGCCAAATTTTGTACGTTGTAGAATTCTACGGTTTTTGGGAAGCTTATTCTTGCTTTCGGGTATTTGGACATTCGGGTGCAGGGTGTTTAGCACCAGAATATTCTTAGTTTTCATTTCTTGATATGCAGTTAGCGTAGTATCATTTGCACGCTTTAGAAATATTTCGCCAATTAAATTGAGGAAAAGAGAATATGACCTGCGGCCGCTACGCTGGCCGTCAAATGAGTGGAAACTTAAATCGTCGATTGTGAACATAACGTCTCCTTGATAATCCTCTGTTCATTACCCATCATTACCCATTCGGAACTGAACCGTTTCATTACATTTATACACACATAGCTTGCAGTACACAGGGAGATTCTGTTCCTAAACACCACTTCACTAAACAATGATTCTGAAACAGTACGGACCGTTTCCAAGAACTTTTTCGACGGCACAGAGGGAAGTTAGTGCATGTACGGCACAATGCTAGCGACTAATTTCTGAAAATGCCTCGCCGCCACATTAGCACCAGTGAACAACACTTTCAGAGCCTCAGGATAAAGTGTGAATTGCAACAGGAGCACTTTTCCGTTGTGCCAGCAATGTGAAACAAATGCTCCCTCCCTACAACAAAATCTACAGCCTGACAGTGCTCGCTGCGGTAAACGACTGTAGTGATTGAGATGACATGGAGAGGTATAACATCCCGAGTTCTGTGGTGTAATGTTAGCGCACCTGACTGGCAAGCAGGAGGTCCGGGTTCAATTCCCGGGCACCCTCCCCGTTTTCGACACCTATGTGCTGCGTTCCTTGCATCAAGTTGCTCAGCAGGCTGCACGGCTCTCCAATTCCGGCGCTCAGCATTCGCTGCTTCTTGCTGTTCAGCGGTCTGAGCGGCCCTACCCTCCCTACGTACATCTGCTTGCTGTTCATCACTGATTCGAGCCATTATGGCTAGTACCGATTTCGGCACTTCACACCGCAACTGCAGTGGCAAACGTTGTTTCCGCACCTGGACCAACCGTTTTTTACCAGCAACAACTGCCTCATCGCCGTCCTGTGGGACATTCTTCAACCTCACCTGGCAAAAATTGCAATCATTTTCATGGGAGATGCACCTCATTTGCGCGACATATGAAGGAGAGACATTTTAGGCTATTATTTGACTTCATCAATCATGAGAACTCAAATCGACCATGACATGAAACGCAAACAGAAAAGTATTGCATGGAAGCGATGGCGCGAACCGCCTGAACCCCTTGACGTAAAAAAAAATTACATACAGAAAAAAAAAAACACTTCAACAAAGAATGTATTCAAATGGAGAATTTGTATTCGATTAGTGAAATCGTGACACTCATTCAGTTATTACCACCCATTTCTTGACACATCTAAGTATGAAGCCTATGGAAATAATAGGATGAGCCACAGCCTATGCCTCAGAATAGCATAGCCGCATCCCATGGACCTGGCGCTTTGAGCGCTGGATGACCTAAAATGATCGCGCGTTGGGTGACAGCCACCAATACAACTTCTTCCCAGCACATTCAATACTCTTGTATCACCGATTAGCTCATGGGTTATTAGCATTAGTCTATGGTACAGGTGCCACTGATTCTGAAGCAGGACGGGCCATTTCCAAGAACTTGTTCGACTTTAGCGCAAGTGCGGCGGAATACCAACGAATAATTCCTGAAAATACCTCGCCGATACATTAGCACCAGTGAACAACAGTGTGCGTTTTGAGTGTGAGTTGCAGCAGAAGCACTTTTCCGTCGTGGCAGCAATGTGAAACAAATGTCCCCTCCCTACAGCAAAATGTACTGCCTGACAGTGCTCACTGCTGCAAACGACTGTAGTTAATGAGATGACATAGAGAGGCCGGACAAAATGTCCTGAGTTCCGTGGTGTAATGGTTGCACACCTGACCGGCAAGCAGAAGGTCTAGGTTCAATTCCCGGCCGCCCCCCGGTTTTCAACACCTGAGTTCCTTGCATCAAATTGCCCAGCAAGTTGCATGGCTCTCTCATTCCTTAGCTCTCTCTCTCTCATTCGCTGCCTCTTGCTATTCAGCGGTCTGAGCAGCCTTACAGTTCCTACGTGCAACTGGGTACTGTTCATCACTAATTCTAGCCATTAAAGGCTAGCACTTCCGAAAGCACCAATTTTGAAACTTCGCACCGCAACTGCAATGGCTAACGTTGTTTCCGCGTCAGCACCAATCGTTTAATATCTGCAGCGACTGCCTCATCGCCGTCCAGTGGGACCTCTTTCAACATTTTTTTTTCACGTTCAACCTTACCTAGTAAAAATCGCCACCATTTTGATAGGAGGAGCGACGTTTGCGCGACGTGTGAAACAAAGAACTTACGTTATTATTTTGATTTCATCAATCACGAGAACTCAAATAAATCGGCCATGACATGAAACGTAAATAGAAAACTATTGCATGGAAGCGAAGGCCCGAACAGCCACGCCTGACCTAACGAAAAAAAAGTACATTCAGAGAAAAAACACTCCAGCAAAAAATGTATTCAAATGGAGAACTTGCAGTCGATCAGTGAAAATGTAACACGCATTCACCCCACCCCTTTTTTCTTTGTGATGACCTCCCAAATCTTCATTTTCTGCTTGCTGCTGCTCTCATTACACCTGCCCCAAGCCTCCATCTTGTCATGGCCTTAAAAAAAAAAAATCAGAAAACGAGGGAAAAGAAGTGTCAAATGGACAAGGAGGAAAAGAAGAAACGATCTGCCATGTCTACATCGCATCCTGACGGGAAATATCCAAAGTCTGAGGAACAGGGTTGATGAGCTTCGAGCTGGGGTGACTTTTCTCCCAGAAGATACGATGACCCCTGACCTCATCTGCTTCACTGTATCCTGCCTAAGCGACGCTTCGCCAGAAACAAACGAGTGGCGGGAAAACAGCAGGAGATGGCACAGTAAAAGTAAGCATATGAATTGAAATGTTAACTCTTTCTGTTGTCGAAATACAGATCTGTTCTGACAAGGGGAATTCTATGTCTCCGGATTGAATTCCTACCCCCCCCCCCCTCTCTCTCTCTCCTGGAGCAGCGGAGCATGGGTATGGTAAGCACAATGAGACCGAAATGCATCAAAATGAAAAAGTAAATATAGGTTACTGGTAAGGCACATGTGAGAGGAGGGGAGCAGTAAAAGATAAATGAGGTACATGAGGGGGCAGCGGTAACATTGGGAAGGAAAAGCTGAGGTATCAAAAAAGGGTAAATTTCGCGCATTTTTATTTACCTCGGTTCCAATTTCACCTCAGGAAAAATATGTTTTATCGGATACTACCTTGATATTAATGAGCTAATGAAATATACCACGACAGACACATAGACCGCGCAAGTCACCAGTCAGTTTCTTTACTTGGAACAAAAAGGAAACTCGACTTTCTTCTAACCCGGGCGGGAACAGTCCCCTTCCAAAAAAACATGGCATGATCGAGCCAACACACATCAAATGACCTCACAAGTAAAACTGGTCGCTATTTTTCCGGTCGATTAGCCTTTGAGCCAGTATATATGATGCCCCTGAATGATGAACCGATGAAATCAGCTTCGAAAAAGTTCCCGCTCGCCGATTCCAAGAGCCCATTCAACCTAAGCACAATCTAAAGAAACAATCCTGGATGAACATGCATTCCGAGGTCGAAAGGTGCATCGAATGAGACGGAGTTCCGCCTTAAACTGGACTCAACTGACGAGTGATGAAAGCTCCCCGCTCTCCGATCGGGTAAAGCGGCGAGCGCCTTCATCGGGGCGGGGGGTGAGTCTACCTCGTAACGTGTGATTCGCGTGATTTCGACTTTCTACGCACCCTGTGCTGTACATCTCATGCTTCATTTCATCTCATGCTTCATCCTCATCATTTTACCTCAATTCATAACGGATGAAACCAAGAAAGGGTCTGGGCGATCATGCAGTCCCGTAAGTTTAGACGACGGAGGAGATCATTCAAGTCCCGAAAATTGTGTGCTTTGCAATTAGGTTCAGGTTATGGAGTAGATACTTCGAATTTATTTTTTTTTCTCATGGTGTACACGACGCATGTTGCCCAATTGCCTTCTCTAGTAATTATAATAGCGGTAGATTTATATTATAGCTTTCGGAATCGAATTCCTTCCAAGATGCGAAACTTCGCGCCTGTTCGACTCTATACTCTAAGCTCGTGTTGCTACGTTGGTGGCAGAGTTAATCTTCGTAGTCTAGAGGGTGCCTGCTAAAATCGATCGTCGATCGATCGTCGATCGGTCAATCGATCGTCAAACGCTTTCACTCTTTGCATGGTAGCGAGAAAATGTTTCTGGGAAACTCTGTGGACCAGTAATAATGAGTTTCTTCCAAGAATATTATTCATCTAATTTGTGATGCTTAGACACGGGATACCTTATGCCTGAATGAAAATCAACTTCAAAGGAATAAAGGAAAAGAGGATAGAATAGAGGAATTTAAGAATAGAGGATTGAATAGAGGAAAACAATGCCACCTTCTGGGGGAAAAAAAAAAGCCAGAAAAAGCAGTGGCCAATCCCAGTACACGTACGAAGCCGCAAGTCCAGCTGCAATAGCAGTCCGCGGAGGTATGGGGCATAGAACGGCAAGCCAACGTGCCAAAATCAACTGGTCGCGGAAATGGATGAGGCACACGCCTCGAGAGTGTCAAGAAATTCCCTTCATAAGAAGGAAGAATACGTTTGATGAGATTACGTAAGATGGCACTCTATCCACGGCTGCCAGAGAGAGAGAGAGATTTTTCTGTCCTCGGATTGGAATTTGGGTTTTGAAAGAGGGAGAGGGTCGTCTGAAAATAAATTGCTGGGATTCGACTCTTTCAGTCCAGAAATTCGCACATTTTTTTAAGTAAAGGTGGGGCAAAAGTGAGGGAACGTAGAACTTTTCGGGGAATGTAATTCTCAATGCGACCGCTTGATGGCAGCACATTACCGTACCGCTCTTTCATCAATTTGGCGCACAATAGTTGAAGTAATGGGGAAAAGAGAGTTTTTCATTCAAGTTTCTGCGTTTTTTGTCACGAGTCAACAAGATTGACTCGTGTTAACAGACCAACAAAGTGCGGACTGCCGGATTCAGGGTCGGCCATTTTCCGTCGCACGGAAAATGGCCAAAATGATCTTCAAGGGACCGAGCCAGAGGCAGACTCTCGGCCCTGCGGTTTTGGTTGTTGTGTTGACTCCCACAAAAGATCATGGGGCCATGAACATTTTCCAAAACTTGTGCTTTTTTTTGGAGAATGTCATGCTTTTCAAGTTTCATGAGAACGGTTCAGGACTCATAAAACCGCCATCTTCCTCGTGATAACTGCATTTTACCATGTGAGGCTTTTCGTATAAGCCGTGGGTGTCAAATCGGTGGCCTTCGTGCCGGATCCGACCCGCCAGTCCATTTTGTCCGGCCCGCGAAGTCCTCTTCAACGGTTGGTTACGGAAAATTACTCCACATTTCAGTCTGTTTGCATTAAAGGTTATTCAAACCGGAGGTTAAACATGTATCGTGCGCAATCCCGACCACTCACAATACCCTTTCGGTGCCAACGTGACTCTCACGACGTTACTATCAAGACCATCGTTTCACCTCATGACTACTCTATTCCGCAAGACAGCGCTTAGAGCTGCAAGCATTTAGGATGTGTCACCCCTACTTAACGCTGCGCCTTCACGGACAAGACACTGCCAACGACTTCAATGAGTCGACTTCATAGTGCAGCCGACACCGCCGACACCGCCGACCAAGGACTGCCCTTCGCGTCGTGAGTAACGATGACTATTTCGTCTTCAACTTCCTTTCCCATTTAACTCCCTTTTTTTTCCTTTCCTCATAATGAGGACGATTTTCTCCCAATCATAAAAAAATAACGCAGCTAATATCAAACACCTATTTGCCCAACAGCTAATTTGTTAGTGTCTCAACCTTTGCATTTTTATTTTGAATTACCCTTTATAATTTAATAAATTAAGAACCCCGCTGTAATGAAGCGAGAATGGACGCAGGAAAACATGAAAACGTGAGTTTTTTCTTTATTAAGCCTCATCTTTGTCTTAACTTAAAAAAGTTTTTTTTTCCGTTGAAGTGTTTATTGCTATAAGATTTCCAGTGTAGTAAAATGAACTCGTGGACGAATAAGACCCTGAAATTTCTTCTTCGAACGTGATGGTGAAACCGTCGGCTTAGTATCGGAGGGGACTGGGCACGAAACGGCCGCTTGAACCGCTTGAACCGCTTGACTCTAGGTGCACGTGGGCGCGGGGACGATCCTGCCGTTCGAGGAGGCAGCTGCTGCCTACCTCCAGCGGCATTATCCCCGGGCGGGGGAGACTCATTACTCCCTGTCCTC